ATTGCCTTGAAATGTTAGCGTCCATGCAACAGTGGTACACGCGGCTGTGCTTTGCTGTGCTGTGCTCTGGGTTGGAGAAGATTCTGTCTTGCTCATGGATCTGGAAGATGTTTGCACTAGAGGGTACGGCCAATGGGCTGTTTGGATTTTTGTTTGTTTGTTTCTTCAGGCGCTGACAGCAAATCTACTCTGGTCTGGTTAGAAAACCATGCAGCTCAAGAGGACTGGGCTGTCGGTTGGGATCAGTCCTTTGTTTACCTTAACACAAACCCAGAGAGCTCCATGCCATCACTTTAGGATAACTTATTCCTACTGTGAACCAAAGCAGTTCTCCCCCCCCCTCCATCTTTAAACCTGTATTTTTGGTTTGGAAGCTTCTTTAAGCATTGAATTTCCCCCAAGCCTCCTCCTTTCCCCTACAACTTCCCTTTACACAGATTTCACAAACCTGTGCTATGAAAAAGCACAATATTTTTTATTTTTTCCACATATATATTGACTTATTTATATACTATGAGAAAGCATACTGGCTTTTATATTTTTTATTTCTAGAGCATTGTATTATTTTTATTTTAAAAGAATTATTGTAAATATCCAGAATTGTAGAGAATCATTTATTCATTAACCTGTTGACAATTTATTGAGATCCTACTACACATCAGGCACTTTCTGGGTTCTGAGAAGACAGCAGTCACCTGAACAATGTCCCTGATGCCATGGAGCTGGCATGTCAATGTGTCAAGGATATGGCAAAGTAAAATAATAAAGCCCCCTAGCCAGCTTTGTGCATTCTTATCATTTCATAATATTTTAAAAAGAAATTAATATTGCAAATACCATTCAAGCCCTCTTGTTACTTCTCCCAGCTCCCATTTCTTTCCCTCTTGAGAGGGAATTTTTCTGGAGTTTGGTGTTGATTGTTTCCATGCATGTTTTTATCCTTGTACTACGTATGTCTATGTACATAAATTATATCTAATGGTTTTGCATGTTTTAGAACTTTATATAAATATATCATATTGTAGTATCCTGTACTCTTTATTCTGTCTGCATCATTTTTAGATGTGTCCATGTTGATACTTATGGCTCTAGTTCACTCATTATAATTGCCGTATATAGTATTCCATTGAATGAATACATATCTATTTATTCATTCTTCTAGTGATGGAAATGTAGGTTGTACCTTTTCTTTGCCATTACAAACAACGAGTCAATGAATGTTATTTTACACAGCTCTTTGTGTGACCTATGGAAGAAAGTCTCTAAATATATCTAGGGGTAAAAGTACTGGTTATAGGGCTTACCCATCCTCACATTCACTACCTATTGCAAACTACTCTTCAAACTGGCTGTGCTACCTATAGCACAGTATATATTTCACATCTCCATATTTAGCAAAATAATTATGGTTAACTGTAGATGTGAGCTGATGCTTATCAGTAGGTTTTTTTCACAAACTGTAAAATGAATATTGAAAATATCATTACATGGACCTTCTTCAGTGTCTAATTGTGGGTCTCAGTGAGGAAATGCTGGTTTAAGAATTAGACCCTAGGAGCCCACATCCCCTTGGAGTCAATGTAAGATTGATGAAAATCTGGTCAAATACATCCAAGGAAGATAAGACTAGGCTCTGTCTGCCTTCAGTGGAAGATATGAGGGATAAAATATTAATATAAATGTTATTTAACGTATCTGTCTTTTGTTTTATATCCCAGAATAAAATTATCTAGGTTGATTGCTGCTCAAACTGAAGTGATTCACTTGAATTCCCTAAGCACTGGAGAGAAAAATTAATACTAGAGGATTGTTCAAAGAGAATTGATTTTCTTTTTCTCCCACCAGACCTAAATCTGATTTAATTTGTGAAAACGATAAAACCTTAAATCAGGTCTTTGTATTATTATTATTTTTTATGTTTTCTCTCTCCACTCCTATGGAGAGTATTTATTGCCCTTTCTGATGCTTCTTCCTCCATACTCCCCCCAGCCACTGAGCAGCCGTGGAACATGCTGGCCCAGAGCATCGACTCTGCACCCAGAGTTCTGCGTTCAAATGTTAGCTCTTCCTCCTACTAACTGATGTTAGATTATTTTAAACCTCTCTGTGCTTCAGCTTCTTCATATGTGAAATTCATAGTATGAATCCCATAGAACAGAGGCGAGGATTAAAACCTGTAGCTGGTTCATGATACCTGTGATGTAAGTGTTCACTATTACCAGAGCCCCAGAGGCAAGTGCTTTTTTTAACCCAGAAAGGAAAGGAATGGACTTTAGGAAATAAAGTTAGTATGCAGAAATCTAGAAGAAAAGTTCTAGATTTGCTAGAGCTTTATTCACACACACACACACACACACACACACACACACTCACTCACTCACACACAGTACTCTGAATTAATTGTGGAATAAATACTCATTCACATACCTTCCCCAAGGGCTTGGCTTTTTTTTTTGCGGTACGCAGGCCTCTCACTGCTGCGGCCTCTCCCGTTGCAGAGCACAGGCTCTGGATGCCCAGGCTCAGCGGCCATGGCTCACGGGCCCAGCCGCTCCGCGGCATGTGGGATCTTCCCGGACCAGGTCACGAACCCGTGTCCCCTGCATCTGCAGGCGGACTCTCAACCACTACGCCACCAGGGAAGCCCAGGGCTTGGCTTTTTGAATCTTCAAAAGGTCTGTTGGAGGAGGGAAGAGGCTGTTCTATCCTGAACATGAAGCCCTGTGCCTGACACTTGGTAGGAACCCAATAAATAGCTATAAGATGGATGGATAGATGGATTGAAATGGGTTCCCAAAGAACAGAGTAAATTAAAATTTTCAAGATGATTGAGAATTAAAATAGGGCCCAAATACAAGACAAGGGACATCTGAAATTGATGGGGACTATTTTTTTCAGAACCTTAGATTTATTTTTAGCTCTTATGTAAACCTTTCAGTTTGTATGTACAGTCTGCAAGGCAAACCACAATGTAGAGCTCCTTGTCAAAACGTCTTATGTTTGAATACCACTTGATTGCTTATAAAGCCCTTTCACATGATGAGAGAAATACGTAGTTATTGTTTAAGAATTTGCTATGCTCTGGAAACTTTGGTAAATTCTTTGCCTCATTTATTTGCCTCATTTATTCCTCAGACACCTCGGTACTATGGTTTTTATTATTCTCTTTTTACATATAAGGCAACTGAGGCACAGGGTAATAAACTTTCCCAAGGTCACATAGTTACTAGGATTTAAACTGAGACCTGCCTGGACTTCAGAGGCTGCATTGCTTCCTGAGAGAGCCTGTGAAATAGGGCAGGTGTTGTGTCCGTTTTACAGATAAAGGAAGTTGAGACTCAAGATGCCATGAACGACAGGCACAGAGCTGGAAACAAAGCTCAGGACTTGCAATTCCAGTTCCTCACTGCCTTCCAGTACCATGTTACTAGGCCTTGACCAGAAGATTCTACTGTTTAACTCTACCAGACTTAGAAACATGCTTTCCTCCTACTGATTTGTTATTCTTAGATGTTGACTAGGTGACCATGATATGTTTACACACCAACACTTTAGGGCATGGCTTACGTGCTTCCTGGTGAACATTCCTTCAGGAGACATGATTGAGTTGTGTCCTATACATCCGGTCAAAGCCGTCCCTGCTAGGAGGACTGGGGAAGCCTTCCTGGAGGAAAGACACTGCTGCTCTGGGAAGTCCATGCATTTGTCAGAGGTGCAGAGAAGCAAGTTGAGATGCCCGCTCCCTGCCCAGACCTTTAATCTGACCAGAATTTGCTTACGTCTGGGCTCCCATCACTGCCGGTAAACCTGCCTCTCCTTGCTTTTCTGGAGTTGCCAGCATCTCTGTCCCTTGCCAGAATGATTGTTCCCAGAATAAGCAAAGACTTCATCGCCTGTTGGTTGGATAACCAACTAGTGTTGGCTCTGCTAGACTTTAAATTCAGAAACTGCACATCCTAAGCTAATGTCACAGTCGTTTAACTGGTTGGCATGCAGGGGCTTGCTTTCGGTGCAGTATCATGAAATTGAGCCGTTTCTCCTGCGTTGGCAACCTAAATGTCATTCATCTGGATGTCATCTGGACCAAACTCAAGCTGGAGCAGACTGGCGAAGGATACCCCCTGGGGTCCACAGACTCTTCTGGGGAGCCGGAGGGAGGGTGGCCTCACCCCGATGGTGGTGAGCCTATTTGTCCTTGATGTTGTCACCTTTCACTTCCTTTACCAGCACCTGTGGCCCTGAAGTTACATCAAAATGCTCAGATTCCGTTTTTTAGTGGCCTGAGAAGCTCTTTTTCTTTTCACTTAATTCTTCTTTCAAGCGTAATTATACCAAAGTAGATTTTTGTGGTACAGATATGATCACAGCTTATGTGGGTCCACAAAGCTTGGTGGAATGAATTCACACTGGTTCAGTTGTTTGGAATTACTTTCCCGTCTGCTTGTTTATGAAGAGACCAAGACTGTCCATAGCTGTGCTGTCCAGTATGGTGTCACTATTTCCATGAGGCTATTGAAATTAAAATTAGTTAAAATCTGATATTTAGTTTCTCAGCCACACTAGCCATATTTCAAATGCTCAGTAGCCACGTGTGGCTCATGGCTGCCATATTGGATGGTGCAGATACAGATCACTGAAATCAGACTGCACTGATCTATATAGCATGTAGCAATCCACTTCGTTATCTAAAAACTTGATGCAGAGTCAGGTCTAGTTCAACAAAACTTGCAGAACATTTCAGGAAAATTCAGTCTGTCTATACTGAAAACGATGGGTCAAAAGTGAACTTTGGCTCTGAGGTGAATGCTACCCAGAACCTCCCACCCCGCCACCTTTACTTTCACGTCTCTCCTACCTCCCAGCTGTACCAGACGCTTTACCACTTTCCCCCTCATTAGATGCTGTTGAGAGAGGGAAAGGAGGAAGGAAACAGGGAAGTTGGTTTGTGTTCATAATGAACAATCATGAACTCTGCATAATTTTTTTCCCTCTCTCTTCAGGTCCTTGAGGCCACACGGGTTAATCGAAGAAAGAGCGCATTGGCCTTGCGCTGGGAGGCGGGGATCTATGCCAACCAAGAGGAAGAGGACAATGAATAGTCAACATCCTTCCACCCAGGAAGCTTCTTTGGTGCTTGGGTTCCCAAGAAACCAAGAAATCAACACATCAAAGCATTTTAATAGAATATTTATTAAAGTGCAAACAAACTCGGCAATCCTTATGCAGACCAGAAGAAGTTGCAATGTACAATGATGAAAAATCAAGTGAAAAAAGAAGTCCACCCATCAAACACGAACTCCCGGGAGTCAGAAGAGAAAGGATTTTTTTTTTTTTGTAACTCAAAGAATCCCCTGGGTTTGGACCACAGTTGATCCAAAAGGACAAAGAAGTTACAAGCAAATTGACATGGTTGCTACAGGCAGAACCAAGACTAGCCTCTCTGGGTGATGAGGAAAACAATGGTAATGTGGCCATTTGGAGAAGCCACAGAGCTGGTGCCATCCACCCAGCAGAGGATATTTCCCTGTACCTGCACCGGTTTCCACCTATCATAGCATCAGAGGTGTTGGACTAACCCCATTTACTCCAGCAGCTATAAAATAATGCTTCTCTCTCTATTTGCCCAGAAGAGGCATCTATGGTTCCATGTCTATTCCGTTTAATTGTCTTGAATTGGGAGCAATTAAGGATCGCAGTCCATATTTTGAAGACAAGATTTCTTCATGTTGCAAACACAACCTGTTCTGCATTAGGAGGTTTAGGAAGGGGGGAGAAAGCCAAACCAAATGGATTATTTTAGCTTTAGGATCTTGTCTGCTTATGATATTGACTGAGCTGCAGTTTACGAGAACACATTTTCACAATTCTGTTTCTTTATATGAAAACTATATTTAGTGGGCAACAACTATTTTTATGATGGGATGGGGGAATATATCCATGTATAAAACCTATACACATTGAACAGCTTGGTTCAAGAGGGGAGAGGTATTTTTAGAGTGGTAATAATTGAAAAAAGGGCGAACTCTGCCTTAGAGAGGTAGACGATGAGAAATAAAGAGGTGTTTATAACTATATTTTATATGTAAAGTGGACCTTCGGGGGAGTAGGAAGAATGATACTTTGGATCAATCAGAAAGAGACAGTAAAGAAAGCTCACGAAAGGTAGACAGAGAAGAAGGGAGGGGGAAAGAGTGGGCAAGTAAGGAAGTTAGAGAGATTATTTTTTCTGAGCAACCAGTATTTTTCAGGATGATACAGAGAAAAATATAGAATAGAAACTTAAGTGCAGGCTTAGGTTCAGCTACAAATCCTAAAGGTGGTGTGCGTGCGTGCGTGTGTGTGTGTGTGTGTGTGTGTGTACACATGCCTTTGTGTATGTGTGCAAAGCGCATGTGTGCTCATGAGTAAGGGTGTATGTGTGTGTGTGAGGATTAAAATTCCAGGATGATCATGGGACAAGGGTGTTCACTTATTTCCTCCAAAGCTGTTTGCCAGCGTCAGGAGTGAGTGAGAATTTCTTTTTTATGAAAAGGATATAGAGGCTCCGAGCTAATGCAGTATTTGTAATATTAAGTTGACCTAACATGGTATTTGCATGAGTCACAATGGCAAAGTTTTGAGCAGTTTTGTAATTTGACATTTAGGAAAGTACCATATTTATTCTCATGCTTTGTATCCATGCTTAGTATACGCTAAAGGACACCAGCTTTACTCTTTCTGTCATTTAAAGCAATATGATAAGGGTATTCAATCGTTGAATGCCCTCAATTTCTGGATGAGAAATTTTTTAGTTCTGGCCATGAGAAAAAAACTGACCAGCCTTCTTTTTTTCCGTCCCCTTTGTTTTAAAACTGTGGTTTTTAAAAAAGCAATAAGTAAGTCAGACCTCACTAAAATTCATTTTTGTTTTTATGTCTTTATGTCATAAGCGCTAATGTGTTGTCCTGACAAGTAGCAGTTCCACCAAATTTGTATGTAGATTCATGCACATTATCTTCTTTTATTAGACTAGTGTCAACGTTAGGGGAAAGTTTATTCGTAAGCAAGTGGTGGACACAAAGTAAAAAATGGAACTCTCTGATAACTTACAAGGATCCTTTGGAGCTGCCAAGGGAACTTGCAATTTGAAGCCAAATTCTACAGATGGATAATTGGCGCCATCTTTGTATGGTTCATGCTCCTGAACATTCTGAACGAATAGTCAACAAAATGTGCTAGACGCTGGGGATATGAAACAAATAAGATCCCTGCCGTTAGGAATTTATTTTCAGGTGGGAGAGGCTGGCATGGAGACAGACATTCCCAGGAAAATGAGATGAGGAGTCCTGACAGGTGGAATGGGGGCACCCAGGAAAGAAGGATGCTTTGTCTGAGGATTTCCAGCATTCCCAAGACAGGCACGGGAATGAAAACAGTCGGGGCAGCAGCATCGTGTGGCCCAGGGATGCAGGAGCTGCTAGGATGCCTGGAGAACAGAATGGTTCTGTGGGTTGCACAAAAAGTGAAACATGCTTCATGATTTCTGGACTAACTCTGGATCTGGTAGTGACCAAAGACTTGATACAGATGAACTCCCCATCTTTTGCAAGAGGAAACAGTGCTCAGGACTTCCCTGAAGTTTTTGGTTCTGTTTTGAAGGAGACTGTGTACCCACCTTAAAACGACATTTGAGAAGAGAATGGGCAGCTGAAAAGAAAGCTTAGGAGGCCACACAATTCCTGGAATCGCTTTAGAGGCAGATAAGTTGGTCTTTGACTGCAGTTGATTGACCCAGACACACTTACTATGTAGAGTCATAGAGCCAGGATCCTTTGGTTCGCACTTTGGATAGGCAACAAATGCAGCGTTTCCGTGACTCTCTCACAGTCACAAAACCGTTTAACTGTGGCCCCTACATCTCCATCCTTTGCTTGTTCCCTTCTGCTGCCTTCTGATGACTGCTGTCCATTTCCTTGTTCCACACACGTATCATCCTGTTAAAATGTAAATTAAAGTTTCCTTAGCAGAGCCAGATTTTCTCTGTGCTCTTGAGTTTTTTACTCATTTAAGAAACATTGGGCCATGGCTTTGTACATAGCACTGTGCTAGGCTCTGGGATCCCAAATGAACCCCTTTAACTTTGTGAAGATGCAGCAGACCCCTGGCGGAACGTCATCCGTGCCTAATCCATCGAGAAGAAGAGGCTTGTCCAAAACCCGGCCTCCGATGCTCATCCCTGCCCCCAGATAGCACACAAGCTTGTTAATCTCAGCTTGAACAGATGCTTAGATTCTGTAGATGTTAAAAGCTTTCCTGAAAGTATTCCATTCCGCAGTGTTGATAGATGTTCACTTTCCTCTGGAACTGATGACTGACATTCCTTGGCTTTCTCATCCAGAAATTATGGAAACAGGGTCTGTCAGTGGCAGGAGGCTGGGCTGTGTCCTACGTGCATGACACATGCAGTTTCCTTGCCTCTTTACACCCATGCATGCTGCCCACCCTAGACAGTGACATATAAGCAGTATATAGATCAGTGCCCACATATATACACAACACACACACACACACACAAGGCATAACAAGGAACACTAAGACAGTGTTGACTCGTCTCAGAAGACAAATAATTAAACATTTTTTCCAACTAAAGAATGGATGTAATTAAACTATGTATTGAAAAAAAATAGCCTAAGTGTTTAGAGATGGTGACTATATCCAGTTGTAGTAACAGAACCAATTTCCTGAATTTTAAGCATTCAGTGAGTGAGCTGCCAATTTTGATTTTGTGTTCCTCTTTACCCAAATGACTTTTTTTTTTCTTTTTTGGAGGAGGGGGCACGAAGCAGCAATACTGTGTTTGAAAATGATACTCTGTATCTGGCTCTCCTGTGTATGTTAACCACTTCAATGTTACTATCCTGCTTCGGTTTTATAGTGATTGTGAGGCATTCACTGCAAGTATACAATTATTTTCTCATTAAAATCCAGTGTGTGTTGTGCTTTTATAAACGAGGGCCACTTGTTTGACTGTCGGGGGAGGTTGGAGGACCGAGCAGCCCGAGGGTAGCACGCTAGCTCTCTTGCCTCTAATTCCATGGGGCCACATCTGCTCCTTGCATATTTGGAACCAAGAAAGCAGTACTAGCTGGCGGGGCAGACCTTTGACAGGCTGTTCCCAACGCCTCCTTTGGCCATGTTGTCTCCAGCTGCCGTGGCTAGACCTGGAAACTCCGACAGGACCCACAGAAATGATACACATGCCTCTTGAGGTAGGTAGACTCCAAGGTCAAAGAGATGGTGGGGCAAACGGTAGGACAAACAGTAAAGGTCAAGCTTTGCACGTGGCTCTTAGGCTCTAATTTTTATTATTCATTCCATTCCCAGCACCTGTATTTGGCTCTCCTCTGAGGAATAGAGAATTTCGGACTTCACAGAGCATCTGAGACCACAGGTGAATCAGGAAGCTTCCTCCCCCCAACCCCACAGTCTCCAGCCGCTCCATCCCGGAGCTAACTTGCACCCAGACCTTCAGTCTCCTGCCCTTCCTTACCACCCGCTGGCCCATCTCTCTTCCTAGGGTCTCCTTTCCAGCTGCCTCTTTCTCTATCCCCACTTACAGGACTTCTTCCAATCTTCCCTCACCCCAAACCTCCCAGGCTTTCCAACTGTATTCTCCTGTTCTTCCGTGTGGCATCATCTTGCAGTCTCTCTCTGGTGAGAGTTCTGAATTTTGATGGGAAGGGGTTAGGTTGGGTGACAGGCCCCTTTGAAAACTGGATCAAACTCTAACAATAACGGGTAACATTTATGAAGCACTGAGAATGTGACAGGCACTTGCCGTGATTTCCACAAATGTAATCTCTTTCTTACGACTCCACGGGGTGTACTCTTCTGGTTTTTTTGGGGGGTTGGGATATTTTTGGCTGCACCACGTGGCTTGCGGGACCTTAGTCCAGCAACCAGGGATGGAACCCGGGCCCCTGGCGGTGAGAGCGCTGAGTCCTAACCACTGGACTGCCGGCGAATTCCCTGGGGCGTACTATGTTGATTTCCATTTGACGTGCCAGGGAACGGTTGCCATGGGGCTGGTAAACAGTAGCGCTTGAAGTTGAACCTGGGCACTCTGATTCAACTGTTCCTCTTACCCACTCTTCCTGTAAAAATGCACATCGGCAACGTCACATACAAGGTCCAGTAGATCCGATGATGTGTGTGGGTCTGGGTGACCTCCTCCCACTATGCTCTCCAGGAGGAGGGGCTCTCATGGACCGAGGCCGAGGTCGTGACAGGGGCTCAAATCTTGGGGGAGAGCTGGGTTTTGGTGGCAGCAGCAAAGAAGTGTCTTTATTTGAAT